TTCATGGCGACAGGAACTTAAAAATCTAAAATGATCTTGTCGGTACCAATTTCCAGGCGACACTGCACATCTTGCATGCATCTGGGTTCTTTATATATTCTCAGGGGGATACTGGTATGTTGGAGGGTGGGGGTGGGGGTGGGGTGGAGGGGGGAGGAGAGGGAAGGAAAAAAATGAAGATGGGGTATAGGGGGGTGGAGGAGGGGATGGGAGAAGATGGCGAGGGGGGAGAGGGAGGAAGAGAGGATATGAGGGTGGGAAAGGAGAGGGGAAGGAGGAGGGGAGGGGAGGATGAAGGAGGGAAGAAGGAGAGGAGGAGGAAAATGACAAGGGAAAAGTAGAGATGGAGAAAGAAAAGGGGGAGAAGGAGAGAGTGAGAGAGAGAAAGAGAGAGAGAGAGAGAGAGAGAGAGAGAGAGAGAGAGAGAGAGAGAGAGAGAGAGAGAGAGAGAGAGAGAGAGAGACAGAGACAGAGAGAGAGACGGAAGGGGGGAGAAGGAGAGAGAGAGAGAGAGAGAGAGAGAGAGAGAGAGAGAGAGAGAGAGAGAGAGAGAGAGAGAGAGAGAGACGGATAGGGGGAGAAGGAGAGAGAGAGAGAGAGAGAGAGAGAGAGAGAGAGAGAGAGAGAGAGAGAGAGAGAGAGAGAGAGAGAGAGAGAGAGAGAGAGAGAGAGAGAGAGGGAGAGTGAGAGAGAGAGAGAGAAACCTAAGAAGGGAAAAATAAGATAAAATAAAAGTTAGATGTGAAGCCCTTAATCCCGGAAATTTTACATCAGCTGTAAAGTTGACTGCAATAGTGCATTAGAGATCAAAGAACCGAAATGTTTGCAAGCGATTTTCGTGCTGTTTATATAACCGTTGAATGTAACTGTTGCAGAAGTAAACGCATATTTACTATTTATCATATATTGTCATGTTTATTAAAAGAGGAGAAAGGGGAAGAAAAAAATGATATATGTTCATTAATCAACAAGTCTGCAATGTACTTATAATCAATCATATATCACCCATCGCCGAATAGGTGAAATGCCAAATACTTCTTTAATTTCATTTAATTTTTCACTTGGTCATTTAAGGTGTATTTAATAGATTTTTTTTTTTTTTTTTAATGCAACGGTAGTGATAATGGTATGGTGTTTATTTTTTAGGCTCAAAAGAGTCAATAAAACGTGATATAATTTGGCATCACAGACAGCATTGATAAATAGGTGATAACTAATCGTTTGAATTTCTTTACGTGATTTATATTAATCATCAAACTGGTGCAGATAAAGCCTATGATGAAATACACGGTGGAAATACATGATAAGAATATGCGGTTAAATCACATGATGAAATAACACACTGAGATTACAAGATGGAAATACACTGTGAAAATACATGATGAAAATACTCAGTGAAAATTCATGATGGAAATACACTGTGAAAATACGTGATGGAAAAATACACTGTGAAAATACGTGATGAAAATACACGGTGAAAACACATATAAATTGTATTGATTGTATAAATTGTATTATTTTATTTCCTTGGAGTAACCAGGGTGATTTAAAGTTCAACAAATTTAATGCTTTGATCATGATGAGTCGCATTTGTTGAATTCCTGATTTCCATTTATTTCTCCGCCACAACCGGTGCAAGAGGTATATAGACAGTAGGAAACTTTGACGCCCACCTCTCTCTCCCTCTTTCTTTCTTTCTCTCTCTCTCTCTCTCTCCCTCTCTCTCTCTCTCTCTCTCTCTCTCTCTCTCTCTCTCTCTCTCTCTCTCTCTCTCTCTCTCTCTCTCTCTCTCTCTCTCTCTCTCTCTCTCTCTCTCTCTCTCTCTCTCTCTCTCTCTCTCTCTCTCTCTCTCTCTCTCTCATAAGTAGTGAAGCGTTATTAGTACCAGTATTCTTGAGTTATTATTATTGTAAATATCACCAGGTTATAGAGCTGGCAGATACGTGAAAGACTGGTATGAGACAGAGATTATATCATGTAAAGGAGCTTGTAAGAGAAAAACAAACCACTTTCCGGTTTCTTGAAAATACTATCGTGGTGTATCTAAGATATACATCCACCTGTGCATTTTTTTCTTTTTTTATGTAGCTTCAGTATGTTGTGCTGCTAGATGTGTCGTGGCCAGTTGTTTGATTTCTTTCTGAACGAAATCTGGCGAAGGAACGAAGAAAAATCTAGAAGCTGTTTATAGGAGTGAGTGGTATTTTCATGAACAGTTTGAAACCTCGTGTTATTGCTGAGAAATTAAGCAAAGCGAAGTTTTTTAAAGCTAAAGAGAATAATATATATACAACCAATCCAGTATTTTGATCTGAATGTTGTTGCATTATCAATTTTTTTTTTTTTTTTTTTTTGTATTCACGAAGGAAAAATAGTCTCCCTGTTGTCGAAGGAGCAATATGCTTTTAAAAATGGCAAAGGAACTTATTAGATTTAGCCTTACAAAATGCCCGAAACTTGAAATTCGCTTTGTCTCTTGCTACTGAATATCAGAGAAGGT